CCATGCAAGAATACATTGTTAGATATCAAACGATGTTTTTTACCTTGTGCCACAAGATCCCATGCAAGAAGACATTGTTAGATATCAAACGATGTTTTTTACCTTGTGCCACAAGATCCCATGCAAGAAGACATTGTTATATATCAAACGATGTTTTTTACCTTGTGCCACAAGATCCCATGCAAGAAGACATTGTTAGATATCAAACGATGTTTTTTACCTTGTGCCACAAGATCCCATGCAAGAAGACATTGTTATATATCAAACGATGTTTTTTACCTTGTGCCATAATATCCCATGCAAGAAGACATTGTTATATATCAAACGATGTTTTTTACCTTGTGCCACAAGATCACATGCAAGAAGTCATTGTTAGATATCAATTCTTTAGTTGCCGTTATGTATAAATTTAATTTTTTTTTCATTAAAGCACATCAAGTCAAATGTATTGCTCTGTTTACAACAAAAATATCAAAGACAGAATCACGAAAAACATCCAGTAAACCTGAATATTCAGTTATCAAGTCACAATGAACTAATCATCACCAATTACTATGTGATATTAATCAAAGTTTATTCCATCTGGTCTTTTTTGTTGTTGAATGAGTGTTCTCCAACAGATCAATCATATCTACTCTGTTACAACTGATGTGGCCTTTCATCTTAGCACCTTTCATGCAATTTGGGTACCAACTATTTCCTGTCCAGTTGAGTTGTGCAGCATAGGGCTCCTGCAAGTACAACAATAAATAACTTGGTTCAGCTATGTTTCGAGTACATAACATAATTGACATGATTGTTGTCCATCAACCTGAAGTTCAGACTTAAACTCTTTGGACTTTGGTAATCTGGTTCATCAAGAGTGGAATGTGCAGAAACAGAGCTTCAATGACTTCTTTCAGTGCCATATATGGCACTCGGAAGAATAGTATTGTTGCAGATATCTGGCATAAATGACACCATCTCGTGACAGGAGTTTCCTTCTTTCTTTGAAGCAGGCCTTGTGTTTACATAGAATTGTGCTTTTTTGCAACTATATTTTCGACCCAAAACACAAATTTTCGAATTGTTTGCCTGCATTAACTATGCAAATTAACCCCCCCCCCCCCAATAAAGCTGCTCGAAATTTCAAAAACTACAATAAACTATTTCTGATATCACTTAAGATAATTCAAAGTGATCATCATGCACAAAGACAGATGCAAGCGATAGCATAAAGAAACATACCAAACTAATTAGACCGGAGCTACGGCCAAATTTTATTGGCTGATACTACACAACATGTACAACCTCTGCATGGTGTAAGCAGCACCCGGTCCAAGTTCACCTATACCAATTACTTTATTAGTCCTGTGTTTGCATCATCGAAGGAGTTCTTTTTATGCATTTTATTAATTTTACGCTTGTTTAATATGCGTATGTGAAACATATATGTATATATGAGTGCATCTTGTGCTGCACTGTGAAAAATGTGGGTATCTTCTTGGTTCACCATAATGTGGTCCTCGTGTGTGGCTTCTACCTGTAGGTCCACGCTTCACATGACATAACACATCTCTATTTATTCGGCACGAGTAAATACCTCATTTCTAATTACTTCATTCTTTCAAACCACTCAGTAAGCAGTATGGGAAAACATACTTGGTTTCATAACTACAAAAATATCTTTGTATCATTAGATCATTTCATTTCTAATGTGTAACCAAACATCTTATAAACCCTTATCCTGTTAACTTTTGTTGGCTTTAACTAGAAAGATCCTCATGTCATTATTGGTTGAAATCTCTTTAGCTAACCATATCAAGTGTTATGTTTTCTATATACAACACAGTCAGCTTGGCGGGTAATGATTAACCATAAAAAAACATTGTTCTTTACGTAATGTGAAAACCTCACAAATAGAATCTGCTTTTCAACTACTCTCTTAGTCACGGAAGTGACCTATTAAGGGTTAAGATATGGGAAGGAAAAAGTCACCAACATGGAATGTACACCCAAAGAATATTAAGTTCTTTGGGTGTACATTCCATGTTGGTGACTTTTTCCTTTCGATATCATAACCAGAACATCGAAATCAGATTATTTGGGTGTACATTCTATGTTGGTGACTTTTTCCTTTCCATATCTTAACCAGAACATCGAAATCTGATTCCATTTCAGATTTTAAATCAGAATCAATCACATGATTTACATCACAAAATACATTTTACCCAAAATAGATATATATATTCAACATATATATATAAGAAAATGGACACTAAAGTTTGTTTTTTTTAAGATGAGAAAGATTCAGAATCATGAAAACAGAAGATATAATAAAATCGTATTCCTTAGCATACAAAATTTACACCCTATAGACTTGCCTGTTTAGTTGCTCTTTTATTGTCATTACTTTTGTTTGCAGAGAGGACGTAACTTGTATAAAAAAAACAACTGAAGTAATTCTAAAACTCTGAAGATAGAGCTTATCTAATATAAGATAAAGTAAAAATAAATACAGACGTTTTAATTTACAATGCTATGTAAAAATTATTTCAATAGGCCTAATAGTTAAACTGTAGAAATTTGTCAACATTCTTTATAGTTTATCCATTATAGTTTCCATATCAGAGGCACGTAAAAATATTATTTGACCTCCATCCCTTTTCTCCTTAAGTCAATGCCAAAGAGGTCTTTTGTTCCATCCTAGAATTCATTGGCTACACTGGACAATGACAAAAATTGATCTAAAGTGCTATTTATGCAAGAACACTAAAACTTTTAAAGTAACTTCAGTAAAAATATTATTTGACATCCATCCCTTTTCTCCTTAAGTCAATGCCAAGGAGGTCTTTTGTTCCATCCTAGAATTCATTGGCTACACTGGACAATGACAAAAATTGATCTAAATAACACAAAACTTTTAAAGTAACTTCAGTAAAAATATTATTTGACATCCATCCCTTTTCTCCTTAAGTCAATGCCAAAGAGGTCTTTTGTTCCATCCTAGAATTCATTGGCTACACTGGACAATGACAAAAATTGATCTAAATAACACAAAACTTTTAAAGTAACTTCAAAAAGTATTTTAGTTTTTGGAACTAAGATAAAAAAAAAAATGTGTGAAGCTACCACAATAATTAATGTTGAATTAATTTTAGATTATACTGAAACATGGAATTAATGGGCTAGATTATTAAAATATTAAACGAAGGTATAATATACCACCAAACCTGGAACGGTATAACAAATACAAATCAATACAGGCTGAAATTGTTTGCATAAAGATTTAAGGGTTTTTTATTATTTCTGAAAAAAAATACACATCTCCTTTTCCCAAAATACTGTATCTAACACAAAAAAATATATTTACCAGTTTAAAGCTTCTGTTCTTCATTGGCAGCATCATTTTAATTAAAAAAATTTCAGTAATGGAATGATTCTATATTTGGAATAAATTTAATATATTTCTTTCAAATTTCAGCTCAAAGCTATTTTGTTTCAATTATTATCAATCATACATTTTTGACATCTTTGTTTGTGACATGTTAAAAACAAACAAAATCTTTTAAAAATGGGGTGAAAAAAAAAGAAAAAAAAAGAGGTGTAGAGTCTCTTCTATGGAAAAGTACACCAAACAGAAGCACTTTTTGAGTCAGTAGTATTTCCTTCATAATCGGAACATACTTTAATATTGTGAATCTTGCCACAAAACATACTTAACACTGACAAATATTCCAAGAATTATACAATGAAAATGACTAAGTATTGTAACCAAAATGGACCCAATGACTTAACCATTACTTTTCTCTGAAAAATTCATAAATTTTACCAATACCAGAGAGCAAAACGTTTTTCAAGGCATCAGTATAGACTCCACAAGCCTCCCATGTATATGTAGAGTAGTTCTGTAATACGCTCCACGTGCTTCTTGCAACATGTTGTGAAGTTTCCCACAACGGTGTACAATAATCTGTTAAGACTAGCCACCACAAAACAGTTTTAGACTTTGAGAAGTACCACACGTCTTCTGCAGCGTAGATTAAGTCATCTGTAGATCTAATTTTATGTCCCATGTACACACAGAGGACTATGAAGTATCCTGTCACAGACAATATCAAGAGCGAAACAGTCACTAGGAAGGATCTGAGACAGGACCCTGCAGAAAGGAAACATCATTTAGAGACAAAACAACATTATGTTTTTCAAACAAGAGTAAAATAAAAACCAATTCTTCTATTTATAAACACCTTGTTTTCCAAGATAGGTTTCTTTAGATAAAATTATTGTAAAGGATCACAAACAACAGAAAACAAGAAAGTAGTGATTATCTATACACAAGATGAGAATAAAAAAAAATATATATTCTAAAATTTTGTCTCTGACTCCTTTGTGTTGTATTTGTTTACATTTGAAACAAAGCAATCACTGCGTATTGCTCATCAATTCCATACTTTCATTTCATCTACAAGTGATCCCTGTTGTATAATTATAGTAAATGTGCTGAATGTTAGCATAACATAGAAATGAAATATTTATGCTCACAATTACTGAATGCGGAGAGAAAAAAAAAACATTTGTATTAATAACAAGCTAGAAAGAAGACGTTTTATTCTGTTGCAGAGGTAAATATTCTTCTGAATAAGTGACCAGAAGCTATGGAAAAAATTTTGGGTCAGGGAAAGGGGGGGGGGGGGGAAAGCAAAACTTTGGAAAGAAAAGGGAAAAGAAATATAAAAACACAGAAAAAGAAACTGTATATTGACTACTGGAGCCGCAGTGACACAATGCCATTGCCAACCGATCAGACACCGTGAATTAATAGAAGAATCACGTGTCTGTCTCTACAAAACAAAAACTAGCATCTATTTTAAAAGCAGAAGTATTAAATCATATCAACTAATAACGTTATTATAATTATATAGAAACAGAAGAATACCTTTCTCTTTTTTCTTCTCTTCCTTGGGAGGAATGCCATTTGTTTGTTTATCTGTTTAGGTAGAAAAATTAAGAAAATGTAGCTAAAAATAATCAATGTTTTAAAACATAGAGAAAGTGACACCTATATAATGGTATACATCAGTTATATTTACTTTCTACATTAACGTCTCAAGAAAACTATCTCTAAGTGATTGGTATCACTTGAGATTGCTTTCCTGGATCTAGACAGCAATCTGTTTTACTGGATTCTTTCAATAAGTAGAAAAACATTGCTTAACAAACCTTAAGGCTTAATAAATAAATTTGATATTTTGTGTATGAAAGCATTGTAATGTTTACTGATAATCTGCCAAATTTTGCTAACATACGCTTCCTAATTTAAAAGTTGTGGCATGAAAACTATAACAAGTACAAAATGGTTACGAGGTCAGTCCCAGGGACCGAGCCCGTGCTGAGAGAGTTAATGCAGTCCGGCCAAATTGGACATTTGTTAATAATGGAGTATGTCAGAGGTCAGTGCTTGGGCCTTTGCTTTTTATTTATATTAACAGCATTGATATGGTATAATTAATAAATTAGTAAAAGTCACCAATGGCTATATATATTCTTGCTGAAAAAATAGTTAAATTTGTATTCTAGATCTTGACCAATCAAAACATTACCTAAAACATTTTTCTGAGAGCTATAAAACAAAATATGAAAGTTGTACATGATAATCTACTCATAAAGCAAAGAATAATTATCAAACATTTATATTACTTAACATGCTACAATACATTAGAGGCTATATGAAAGCTGGTGTTTTTAAGTACCAAATATTGTAAAGGTAATTTTTTTACCGTCAATAAATTCTTTTTCCAGATCTTTCTCCAACTGTTGCATCCTGATACGTTCCTTTTGAGCCTTTTGTTCAGCCTTCCGTCGTTCCTTTTCGGCCTTTTTCAGTTTTCTTTGACGCTCCTGTTCCTTTTCCTCAGCTGCTTTTTTGGCAGCTTCTCTTTCTACAACAAAAGGTTTGTATTATTTTAATAACACACACTTCACTACAGTATATAGCAAGAAAGATAACTTAGATCATGGCTGTAAGAACAGGGGCTGTACAAGTTTACATCATGCAACATATGTCATAGCCATGGTGAATACGAGTTGTAAAGGACGTGTTTCAACCAGTTACCAAATATTAGGCTAACTTCTTTAGCTCAATAACCATATATTTGGACCCCGAATAGATAATACCTTTATCGAAACAATTCTGCTAAGTTTCTTTCACAGGACTCTAGAAACTATGGGCCATACAAGTAAATATAAAACTCAATTAGAAATTCTGAAGAAAGTTAAACAGACTGAGTAGAATGTGATAACAATACTTTAACAAAGAATCACACAATAATTCCAGGTGAATATACGTATCGTACTTGACCTAGTTTAGGGTCTATAGTTGTCAATATTTTTTAAACAGAGACCAAAAATATTTCATCAACAATCTAAGTATTTATTTACAACATTATTTGAATCTCAACTTGTAGTACGTACTGAAATATGTGGAAGTTGTAGCATGTCAGTAAACATTCTTTGAAACAAGTCATGCACAGATCTGTCATTTGCACAAACTAATCCCTAACATGATGTTTACTATCAGTTGCTTCAAGAGTGATTCAGTGATAATTTGACTATCAGGAGTGATTTATAAGACAGAAAAAAAAGAGACCCATAGATTGCATAGAAGCAGTTGGGTGGTTTTTTCAAGTGAAGTGCTAGTTATACACCGTAGTTATTTCATATAGTGGCCAATGGAAGGAGGTTTCTACTAATCAACTGAAAAACAACCATGCCTAACTCGGGAATTTATAAAAAATCTCAAATTATACTGGGTCTAATATTGAGGGTTGTGAGTGTGGCCTCATGTTCCAGGGTGTTTACCAAACAACAAGCAATTCAGTATTGTCTGTTTTAGACTTTATGCCACAGCTACACAAAGAACCACCTAAATCCCTGATAAACTAGAAAATGCAGTAAAAGAATAGGTTAAACAATTGCCAAGCTTTTTAATATTCTTTGATAGATTGTTTAGGCAGAGTTTCATCAAGTTTTTTTAATATTTTCCTTTTGAGAGGATGACATTTCAAGCTAGTGCTCTTCATCAAATCATACAGCTGTACGATCAGACGAAAAGAGCTAGCTTGAAACATCATCCTCTCAATATAAAAACTTGGAAATTGTTTAACCTATTGACGTTCGTGTCATCTATTTCTATACTGCAGTTGGTCAATAACACCCACCATCGATTCTTGGACTACTCTTCTCTAATCAAACAGTCACTCTTATAACACTCACAAGGTCCCAAAGTGCACACCATGTTTTTGCAACAACAAAGAGAACAATACTGCATTTCCTGACTATATTTTTTCCACATTCTATATAGATGGCTAGGAAAGTAAACTCTTGTTGTAACGAACTACGAGGAAGGAAAGATGGTTCATTGTAACAAGTATCATGTTTATTGTGTGTTTATAACAAGCATGTTCTCAGAATTAAGCAACATTAGTGAGGCATATAGCTACTTCCACAGGATGCTATTCTTCTATCACACCCTTATATTCCTAAGGTTTCTCAACATACAGAACAAGTATATGTAAGTGGCATACCTTAATAAGAAAATGAACTGCAGTGCCACGACAAAATGATATGTTTAAATTGATATGCTGATATAGCAGAATTTACAATTCACAATAAAAATATTAGGCCTAATAACTAAATTATCTGACAACTGGTTGATAAGTGTGTACGAATAATAAAACAATGCCTTATGTTAAAAAAGGTGTTTGTTTAGAAAACCATAATACTAACATATCATACTAACATTATTTCACTTTAATAATATTTGTTTGTGTAATACAAGAAAGTAGGGTCACATGCTTTAGAATTATCAAAATCAAATGGATTTATGTACCAAGAATGTGTTATTCACAAGTTTGTAATACTTACTAACAAAATCCAACTTACTAGTGTTATTGCTATTCTACATTAATAAAGTTATTAATTAATTCACCATTAGTTTGTTCCATTTATCCATAATCTCATACTTTCTAAAATATGTTTCAGGTTTTACCATTTTCAATAAATATAAAAATTTCAACTATTCAGCTACCAAATACATACCAACATTCAGCCAGACTAAATAAGCCAGATACCAAATACTAACCCAATATCTGTTACAATCCTAATCAATGACTAAAATTCAACTGTCACACCATTGTTACAACCAGTGGTGACTAACCTCAAATGTTACACTACTGTTACCATCAGTGGTGACTAACTTCAACTGTCACACCATTGTTACCACCAGTGGTGACTAACCTCAACTGTCACACCATTGTTACCACCAGTGGTGACTAACCTCAACTGTCACACCATTGTTACAACCAGTGGTGACTAACTTCAACTGTCACACCATTGTTACAACCAGTGGTGACTAACTTCAACTGTCACACCATTGTTACCATCAGTGGTGACTAACTTCAACTGTCACACCATTGTTACAACAAGTGGTGACTAACTTCAACTGTCACACCATTGTTACAACCAGTGGTGACTAACTTCAACTGTCACACCATTGTTACCACAGTGGTGACTAACTTCAACTGTCACACTATTGTTACAACCAGTGGTGACTAACTTCAACTGTCACACCATTGTTACCACCAGTGGTGACTAACTTCAACTGTCACACCATTGTTACCATCAGTGGTGACTAACTTCAACTGTCACACCATTGTTACAACCAGTGGTGACTAACTTCAACTGTCACACCATTGTTACCACTAGTGGTGACTAACTTCAACTGTCACACCATTGTTACCACTAGTGGTGACTAACTTCAACTGTCACACCATTGTTACCATCAGTGGTGAACAACTTACTTAACTATCACGTCAATGTTAAAGTCTGTGGTGAATGACTTCACTTCAATTGTTGTAAAGATTTTTGTTCTTTGATATCATTGCTTACATTATTCTGAATAAGAAGTTAGCAGAGATACAAAACCATCGCTTACATTATTATATGGATGTGATATATATACAGCATGTGTGTGTGGTAAGGTGTGAAAATCACTAAAACCTACACAACTCACTTTATTTCAGGTTATCAGAATCTATATCAATCAGTACGTTAAGCCTGCACTTAGTAAGTAGTAACGAGAAGCAACATTGAAATTATAAACGTAAAAGAGCACATAATTCAAAGTTCAAGATTAACTGGACTTGACTCTGTATGTGAATGTATCATAAAACTTACTTGTGCCTTTACCAACATAAAATGACTAGAAATAATTGTTACATCTTCTCTACTTTTCCACAAGGGACACCAAGGGCTAATGACTAGTGCTTTGGACTCATAGTCGAAAGGTTGCAGGTTCAAGCCTTGCCTATGCCATGTCGTGGTGACCTTGGGCAAGACTTTACAAATTGCTTTAGTCTATCTAGGTGTATAAAGAGCGCTGATTGGTAGCTGTCAGTGATTCCTTTAAGCCGTGCAGCCCCACAACAAACGATCAAATGCAGCGCTCTTCGTTATTCCAGCCGTGCACATCCTGATTGGTAGCTGTCAGTGATTCCTTTAAGCCGTGCAGCCCCACAACAAACGATCAAATGCAGCGCTCTTCGTTATTCCAGCCGTGCACATCCTGATTGGTAGCTGTCAGTGATTCCTTTAAGCCGTGCAGCCCCACAACAAACAATCAAATGCAGCGCTCTTCGTTATTCCAGCCGTGCACATCCTCAGTAATGGTGAGAAGTTTCAACACGTTAACGGCTTTAATGATCCTGGCAGTCGATAGGCCTAAAGACCAAATAACCAATAGGTAGAATTGCAAAGCAGCCTAATAATTCAATATGGTTGATCGTCTAAAAAACACACACACACATTACCTTGTTGGTGGTGCACATGAAAAAGTTCAGTCCTTACATGGATTGAAAAAATTAGAGGTAATATTGGTAGCTGTTGATTAAACCGTGATGGACTGGTACCCAATCCAGGAGGGGGGGGGTCACCATTCTCATCCACTTTTGCCACATGAAACTGGAGCTAAGTAGCAGCCTTATGTGTCTTTCAGGTACAAACATTGATTAACTAACTTATTTTTCCTCAGCTTCAAATAATATAAACAGATTTATAAAAACAGCACAGTTAATTCAAATCTCACTGGCCAAATAGATTAACTAGTCATTACAATTATCAACATACCACGTTCTTCCTTTAGTCTTTTTTGCTTCTCACGTTCCAAGTCTGATTCTATGCTCTGCATGAAGGCTACAACCTGAGGATAATAGTGAAAGAGTATGAATAAATAATACAAGATCCTTAAGTCAATTAAAGACAAAATGTCATTAAATCTGCTAAAAAATAATGAAAAACATTTTCAATAGATAAGTTATCATTAACTTATTCAAAATAATCCAAACACTATTTTAGGTGTTATTAACATTTCTTTGAAAGAGGACCTAGAATATGAAGGTGATTGTTTCTTGCACTTTTTATATTTAATACTTGTTTATAAAAAACCTTTTCTTTTAACTAATGGAACAAAAAAAACAGATTCAGTTTGTTGTTGTTGGGTTTAATGGTCCAAAGCACCAGTAGATTCAGTAACAAGTTACTAATGTTTCATAACCAAACTGTTTACCTAAATGAAAGACTTACAATGTATTACTTATAATAAATATTCAAGACTGATTCAGAAAGAACTTTTTTTCAACATTAAGAACAGCCTGGCCATTAAATGTCTTATACTCTTTTGTCAAATTAAAATATTCCCACCTCGTGAGTCTCAAATCTTGAACCTACCTTTTTGGCACACTGTTGACATTGTTTCTCATCCAGACAATCACCAGCGACGACCTTAAGTTTTGGTTCCAATGGGTTGTTTTTCAAATCTAACCATTTCAAGTTCTTTAGTCGACAGAAGGTGAGAGGCAACATCGTCAACTTATTGCCATACAAATCCAAGTGCTGAAGCCGAGTCATATTTCCAATGTTGTGCGGCAGCTCTTTTAAATCATTTTTGCTCAAGTCCAGTCTTATAATGTGATTCAAGGTAGCAAAATTACTCTGAAAATTTCAAAGTATATCTCAAGTCCATTAAAAAAATCAATTTTTTGCTAAATGATGTCTTTTAAAATAGCTTAGGACTTTTCCAAACTTAAACCGTTTTTGAATTTTTATTGTATTCATACTATTAAATTTCTTTCATTGTGATACAATAAAAGAAATACTTTCACATTTAAATGTTGTACTAAAAACCTACAACTTATTCTTTGGAATCATTTATAACAGAATAAATTTTGTTGTGTCATTCCTAATTCTAATTATTGTTAGCTCTATCAGCTATACAGCAGTATTGAAGTTGTAATATAAAGATCTTCTAATAGGGTCAACTGTCAGTTTCATAAGCTTCTGAAATTTGTTTGAGAGGTTTATGTTTTCAGATTTTTCTTGCATAAAAAAACTGTTAAAAAAATTTCTTTTCCTGTAGGAACAAACAAAACTGAACGTTTAAGAGAGAAAGCTATTACATCTATACTAACAATATTTAAACTCAAATTATAGTTTCATTTAAAAATTAAATTCCTATTTTATTAGTTATTTTAAGTATAATGAATCCATTTAAAAAAAATTATATAGACATTTTATCATATTTTATGCAAAAGATAGAGTTACATAGTAACAGTATAGAGCAGTTGTTGAAAAAAATACATCCAAGATAAAAAAACATGTTATTTAAAACAGACAACAAAATTAACAAACTTTTCTCTATGGGCATGCTCTTATAATCAATAATGTTTAGATATCTTACTCGGTTATGTTTTCCCGTGGAAACTCGTATTTCTATTTTCGCGAGTACAGCCGAATGCTGGCAGGACTTCGATAGAAGAGGCATACACTTAAATTTAAATAACCTGTACATCTAGTCTACCTCTGAATATATTACGTATGACATAATGAAGTTTGCAGGGAATGAAAAATATAAAATCTTCAAAGCCATCTTCCTTCGCAGCATCAGTGATCTGGTTTCAAATGGTTTTATTGATGTTTGGTCCATTAACTGGCAAACAATTATATAAAAAAAAAATCCTTAGATATGTGGATACGTCTTCTTTTGGGAAATGCATGGTGTTTTCTCATCCTTACTTTTCTTTGGTACAAGATAGTTCTTAGTTTTGTGTCTTACATCCTGATCATTTGTGGCTTCATCATACAATATTGTCATCCATCAGACGTTTTAGCACATAGGATCCTAAGCCATCTGAGATGTACAACACCTTTGTTCACCTCATTCCAAATTTGTTGTTGTTGGGGGGCACTTAAATATTCTGAAGAAAATCAGAACAACAATCGTCACATGACACAAATGAAAAGTCTCTTTGTCTGCAAAATTCATTGTCCAGGCCTGTTTCAAGACCAATCATTTGGTTAGTGTTGTGGACTTGGGACGTAGAGCCCGGGTGCAGCATTATTACAAGTTATTTACGCTCGTGTTTCGGAACGGGGGTTGATTGACACTTACCAACAGAAAACTTATACTTTTGTACATGGGTGACCTTTCAGTTGTGTTGTTTTCATGGGCAAGGCCTGGTCGTCAGTTGAAAACTTTTTTGTACCAAAGTTCGTAAAAGACTTCCAGGCTGTTCCATTTTGACACCCGAGACCAATTTGGTGTTTATTAATGTCCTAATTGTCCTATCAAGTTTTAATATGTATACTTCCCATAATGCAAGAGGTCAATTCACTGGTGAGAAGTTATACGTACCTAAAAGCATAAATGATTTGTAAAACATGCATATAACATGTTCTTATTCGCACCAACTAGTAGAAAGCTGTAATGAAATATATTATGCAAGTGCATAAAATAAATACATAAAAATATGATATGCTGCAACCAATGTTCCCTCTAATTTTATCAAAACATGTGCAGCATGAATGTTATGTGCACCAATCTCAAGGGAATGTGCAGACATGTGCTACCATTTTGTTTGAGGGGGAGGGGGATATTTTAGACCCTCAACCCTATTTGATCATTAGGCCACCTTGCAATGCTACCAGTTGGTTATTTGGGATTTATGCCTATCGACTGTCAGGGTCATTAAAGCCGTCAACATGTTGAAGATGTATGTGGTTGGGATAATGAAGTGTGTGGCATGTGGTTGGTTGTTGTGCAGCCTCGTAGCTTAGAAGGAACACTGGCTACAACTCTTGTGCCTAATCATCTGGTGATGAGCTGGGGAAGTTCACAAAATTATCTGTCTTTTGGGGACAGTATAAAAATGTAAGAAACAGTTTAAATGTACAACAGCATATTCAAGACTTTTTTTTTATCATTTTGTGATACCGTGCAGACTTAGTATGAAGTATTGTTAGTTTAGCCAACTTTTTGACTAGTGTACAAATACATGAAGTTTCAAATTGAAATCATTTCAGAGTTATAATGGATATCTTCAAGCGACTTTCAAAATGATTTCAGACTCAAAATTAATGTTACTGACAAACTATTTCAAATAAAACAAACTGGGAATTTAAGCAGTTTCATAACTGGAAGTAAATCAACTTAGAGTAATCTCTTTCCCTTCTACTCAATTTTTCTTCATTGGACAAACGTGTGTTTACTCTTTCAGTAGGAATTTACCTTAGTTTGAAATAACCACATTCATCTTTCATTTGGACCTCAAATCAAGTGATATCCTACGGCAAGCCAACATAAACTTTCTTTGTATTCTACCTACACCTTCTGACTTCATGCTCGCACAAGGTTAAGACAACTTAATGTTCTAAGAAAGATTACAAACCTTTTTTTTTATTGAAGGGTAATAAGTCATTAAGTGTGAAGATGTGAAACTTAGCATCATAAGCCTTGTTTAATAAAGTACATGAATTATCGTATCATTTATTCTTACTCTTCCCCTTAATCACAACTAGTTTGGTATCAGCTGGTATTTTTGTAGGCCAAGCATTTTTACACCCGGGTGGCTGGCCCAGACGGCAATCATATAGGACAAGCATGTTTGGTGACAGTGATATGAACTTGCGACCCTCAGCTTGCAAGTCGAGCGCCATAACTACCAAGCCATTCCAGACCCAACTATAATATCATTTATTATTTAAAAAATGTTTTGCTAGGATAGAGGGTAGGATTTTCAATCATACAGATTTATACGGAAAAAAAAAAGATAACTTGGCCCACAATATACGAAGAATATAAACATTATAGGGACTATATTATTGGTGGGAAGACTGCCTATACCAAGATTTACTAAAAAGAAACATTAGCTATATTTTTCAATTTATCTGATTTATAAATTTAGCAATAACCTGTGGAAGCAAACATAATATAAATCATGATAAAATATTATCACCTTGTTAAGTTTATCATCATATGAAAATACTGTAATAAAGATATTGAATATGTAGTCCCAACAAACCACTACACATAAAACAAATAGCTTAAACCTTGAAAAATATAGATGCTCCTGGAATCTGTCTCCCTCTTTTAAACACTAAGAACAATTAATAATAGGGTATATATCTATAAATTAAGGAGGTTTAACAGACTGGTAGACTTTCTTTAACTATATGTATTAGCCAAAACTTTGTTATTGGGGAAAACACAACCTAATGTACTGTAGATTAAAGATGAAAATTTTTCTCTAATAACAAACATCATTTCAACAATACAAGTTTAATGGGAAAAAATGTAAAGAGCTGAATGAGCTACATAATTCATAAACTAAACAATTAAACATTTTGAATGCACTTACTGGCAAACTGGAAATCTTGTTGCATGATAAGTCAATATGAGTTGCTTTAGGAAGAGCAGCCTGCAAAAATAAAAACGTAACATGTAATCTAGAAACCTTGTTCTCATCTACACAACATACTAGTTAAAAATAATGTCTTAAAGATGGTGAACTTTCTTAAAAATTAATTTTTGGTACAATATGGTATACAAAAACTGTAAACTATCAATATTATTAACTTTAATATTACAGTTTTTTCCCAGTTTGCCCCCGATGAAGAAAGGTCTAACCCTAAATTATAGGATTTTTGTATTTTAGTACAATATTTTAGCTCCTTTCCAGTTTTCCTCCTAAATCTTATTTCCTCATATTTTATTGAATGAAACTCTGATATTATATCACTGTACACTGTGTTCAGTTTTAATAACCTTGTTTAATAAAGTATGCTGAATTATTAGACACAGTGTAGAGAAGGGCTACTGGGATGATTTCAGGTTCAGGCTTATTACTTTATGGGGGTGGCTTGAAATCTGTTTGAATGAGAAGAGAATGGGAAACTTGACTGAGATTATTAGATTGGAATTCATAAATCCAGATGACATTTTCATAAAAAATACTGGAGAGTCATGGAAAGTTCAGACAAGACTTCAATTGCTATTTTAATGGGACAGTCAGACTGTGGAATGACTTTTCTTTGGGTGTGGTGGAGGCTACAACATTGAAGGAGTTTGGAAAAATATGAGTATTTTAGAGATCAAAGTTCTCAAATTAGGAATATTGCCAAATGAAAAAAAATGCCCAGATTCAAAAGACTTGCCCCAAAATACTTGTACATTTCAATTCTTATATTTATTATGAAGTCTACAGTAGAAAGCATCATTGTGTGATGACATTGGTAGAGTTGTCTTAGCTACAATCTTGAATATATCATCGAACATTTTCCTGCTCTTTTATAGAAAAAGAAAATCCTATAACAGATACACTCATCAACAGATGCAACTGGTACTAATACATAAAGTTTCCACTTTTGGTTTAAAAAAATCCCAGAATGTTCATCCACAAAATCTGAAAATTTTACATTAATTAATATTATTCATAACTCAATATCCTCTGTTGTTATATAATTAAAATTTAGATCAATGTGAAAACATAGTCTAGAACTAACTACTACAACAATGATTTCTTATTTGTTAAAATATATTTTAAAACTTGACTTATCATGAAATAAAAAAAATCGTAGTACACTAAATGATAAAAACACCAAATAAATTTTCCTACATGTATGTAAATATATTTACTTTTATTACTACTAATTTCAATTTTGTTTGAAAGTTATAAAAATAAATTTAATATACTTGCACAAGGTTTTTATCAACGTGATTTCCTTTTTTACTTTTAGGCAAAGATTAAATATTTTATTCGGTTATTTATATTACTGTTAATTTAACTAAAATCAATAAAATTTATCCATACCAATTCCTTAACAGGGACTTCTGACAACTCGTTGAGGCTAAGATCCAACTCATGACCATCTAATTTGTCTTTCAAATTTATTGTACTTGTAGACATGATTGGGCACACTGTCTAATTCAATAACGTATCTTAAAGTTTGGTAATGATCCTGAAATATAAATGCAAAGATTAAAAATCACAATGCTTGTTATATTTCCATCATGTTTATATGAAAATCTTCTTCATACATAGTCATACTTACAATTTTAGATTTTTGTTACTACTGTGATTAAGTATCCTAAAGCAGCATTTCATTATATGAGAAACTAACTACATCATATGCCACGAATGTGATGATGTGGACTGAACACTTTTTTACTCTCTCACGTTAGGTGGCGCTTATAATTTTTAAAACCAGTAAGACCGTAGAGAGATAGTAAATGACTACCTATAGCTAAACAATATATTTACAGAGAGCGTGAAGGTAAACCAACGTTCGTTCAGACAAAATGTTAAGTAAATTTTTATAACACCGATCATTGTTTTTCGTTCGTGCATTTCTGTGAAATTTATCTCACCTCAGTATTTATCTTATCTTAGAATTATAGTATTTATTCTGAAATTATTCTTTGTTCTGTACATATTCAGGTTCCACATAACATATGGTAGAAAAAGACCTTAAGGTTGATTTCGTTCTATTTGCCTTTTTAATTCCGAAGTGTATAATACCTGTTCTTCCCGGGAATGAAGGAAGATAGTGTCTTCAACAGTAGTGTCCTTCAAATGTCGTTCAGGTGATATCTAGAGGTCGCGGCCTTAACTTTGATGTAATGAGAATAATCATTTACATACGTAGTGCTGGTCGCTATGGGTAAATACAACATTTATTGTGAACTTAAAGAATGTTGTATTTCAACAGTTTAGTCTGGGCACATCACTTGAATATTGTATTCGGGACTTTCATCTTCATGTAGCACAGGGGTTCTAAACCAGGGGTGCGAAATGAGGATCCAGGGGTTGCGCGGAAGAGGCCTATACAAGGTCCGTTTTCCTCCAAATGTCGCCCAGAGGAAATGTCTAATGCACATTTTTTAGGGGAAGGGTGCGAGGGTTTCCTTAGGGGTGTGTGTGTGTGAAAAGACCACAAAAGGTTAGGAACCACTGATCTAGTCATTCTGGTTTGGAACATAGTTTGGATAGTTATTATCTGGAAACTCATCTTCATATAATATCTGGTAGATGGTTTCAGCTTTAATGTTTGAAAAAAAGAGCTAGTAAAAGCAATCGTCCAGAAAAAGTAAACAGCAAGTACACACACTGTGTTTACATTTAGTATTATAACATACATTGTTCATTTTCCATTTCACTTTATGTCAAGTCTCATCATGAATCAGTTAATAAGAGACTTAACGTTACTTCATGGACAGTATCTTGACTGAATCTCTAATTATTAAATAGACCTATGTCACCTATCTGATAACCCAAAGATTATCTCAGGTATGCCACAGTGTGTAAGTTGGAAAACATTTTGGTGCTATACTGCAAGATATTATATTGTGGAGTTTTTTGTTTGTTTTTTATATCTGCTGAAGTCTGTATTTCCATTAACTCCTACTCTTGTGTAATGAAGTTCAAAAAGACATCATAGTTAATGAAATTATATTTTCCAAAACAAAGAGGAAGAGTTGGTCACTAAGGTGGAGATGATTATTTGAGAGAGTTGTCGGGTCGAGGAGAAGTAATCTTTTGGATGTAACGAACTTCCACTAATGCTGTGAAGTTTCGTGAGTTCTGTTTAACTGTAACTGATGACTCAGAAGGAATAGTGACTAATATCTGGTTCACCAAAAATGGCTGCCCATACTCTTCTTCTGTAGAATAGCCTCAGTGTAAAGGAAACAAGGCTGAGTGAGAATTGTCATATTGGTGTAATATCTGGTATGTCTAAGATTAGGTGAGGTAATGTGTATAGGACTCCCAGACTTACATCAGTTAAAGTAGTACAATCAAAGCTCTGATTGAAGCTAATCAAGAACATCAGAGAGAGACTGGTAGAGAATGTCTGCCAACAAGAGCCTTCTCACTGGGAGGTGAGACAATGGGTACCAAATGGTAAAATGAGTCGATAATGAGGTAGTTTTCAGTGGTATACTGTTGATGTAAACATCATCCAAGCGCTGGTTCATCACTACTACCTAGCCTGTCTGTGGAATTTCATAAAACAAACAAACAATAACTGACAGAATATTCATATGTAAATTGTAATGTTTTTTCATTGTATTTGCATTTTAATAGTACACAACAGTTTAAGGAGGTAGCGAGCTAGTCCTTGGAATCAAAAAGGTTGAGAAATACTGGTCTAGGACACCTCATTGTTCTGCTACCATGTATCAGAAGTCTACCATTTACCAGAGCAACAGGATCACTGAGAGTCTCTACTACACTGTGTAACCAAGTAAAGGCCATCTCAGTCAGGTGATAGGCAGGAATTCAAGAAGGAGAGTTTCTGACCATGATCATAGATCCTCGTGAGAAAGGCGAGGCAGATCAATCTGCTGATATTTATAGGCACAGCAAAAGAAGACTTTGACCATTTTCTTAATCATTTCAGACAGTAACTGCCTGCAATGGCTGTACAATACTCCTGGTTCTGAGTGTAGGTGGTTTCATCCCAGACTTCATTGAGTGTTCGGATGAGGATCAACCAAGGGAGTGTGAGACAGTCATTACTGAGTTGCACCAGAGGTTTAACCAAACAGAAAACAGAGCAATCCATCAGGCCAAAATAAAGGCTTGGAAAAGGAGTGCACTGAAAACTCAATCACTTATGTTGATGAATTGAATTTATTGCATGGTAAAGCTTAGCCACCTATGGCCTCGGCATACTGAGAGTACATCCTTGTAGCCTAGTTCTTGGAAAGGCTACTAAGCAAAAAAGACGTAGCATCACATGGGAGTGAAAGACCTTCTTACCCTTACCGAGGCAGTTTCTGTCATGATGTACTATAATGTGATAACTCCAAACCAGTTGGAAGTCAGAAAGAAGCCTACAGCAACAGTTGCAGTGGGTTTACCTCAGACAGACTATCATACCCAGACACCCATATAGCACCAGCTTCAAACTCACTTGAAAGTTAACCAACCTCTCACCCATCCTGGTGTTCCAATACAACCATACTGATATTCAGTGAATGAGAAGAGCTATTCTCCTATGATTTATATGCTGCCAATATCTCTACCTGGATGCTATCCTAGAAGATACAACAGGTTTATGAGAGTCAACAGCAGGCAATAAGTATTGTTGCTGTTGCTCTTGGAAACCAAAGGATGCAAATTTGAATCTGGTTACTGACTTGGAGGAGTGCAATGAACAGTTTGCCCAACAAATTGTGGTGATCAATCCAGCTCTTTAAGGGCTGGGTAGATCTTGGTATGTGCCTATTGACCTATAGGATGACATTCCTCACTGATACAGGAGTAGCCAGAACACTGGTAGGTCTCATAGTATATCAGGTGCTCCAAGTAAAGCCTCCACTCAAGCCTATTGACATGAACTTTGTTCTGGTGAATGGAGATAGATGTAAAAGACTAGGTCATCTTTGATTTACACAGAGGTTTGCTTACATAAATCAAAGTGTTTCTCATTAACCTTTGGTCTGGTATTGTCATTCTTGGAATGGATATACTGTGGAGCTCAGTAGTCAGTTTCACTTCTGTAATGAGTCAACTGATGTTCCATGGTAGAGTTATCCAATGTTAAACAACTGGATCAAAGGAACAGCGGATAGCACGAGTGTATGTGGGAGGTGAAGTCATAGTACCCTTATGTATGCAAGAATTTTTCAGTGGCTTACTACTGGCTATGTAACATAGTAATTGGGTCCAGAAAACAAGCAATATTAGCTCATATAGTTGTCTACCTAAGGGAGAATGATGTCTCAGTGTTATTCTGCCACAATGTATGATGAGCTAGCTAACTACAAGCTAGAACTAGGTACCAAAGAAAACTTTAGATATTTTGGCTTTATTGCAGATGATTTTGAGCCTGTAGAAGACGGTATTTTGCTGAAAGGATCTTCCAATATGCTAATTTCGTTGGACACTTCAGGAATTCATGAGATAAAATTGTAGAGAAAAGATTACTAGTTCTGGCAAATCCAAGCTAGGATCCTGACAGACCACAGGAAATGTCATGCATGACTACCAAAGTTATTGGAAGCAGCGTTTCTGGTGCTATTCAACTTGTAAATAAAAGGGAATTAATAGCATTCATAAAGTTTTACAAGGGAAGACATTTCAGAATAGAGTGGCAGACTGTGAAACAATTGAATCATTTAAGTAAGTTTCCAACTCAAATGATGAAAGGAGAGAACAAATGCCTTAATTTGATTATGGAATTTATTTGTGAAATGATTTGGTTTGCTTGAATTTTGCGCAAAGCTACACGAGGGTTATCTGCGCTAGCCGTCCCTAATTTAGCAGTGTAAGACCAGAGGGAAGGCAGCTAGTCATCACCACCCACCGCCAACTCTTGGGCTACTCTTTTACCAACGAATAGTGGGATTGACTATATATTATAATGCCCCCCACGGCAGAAAGGGCGAGCATGTTTGGTGAGGCAGGGATTTGAACTCGCGACCCGCAGATTATGAGTCGAGCGCCCCCTAACCACCTGGCCATTTCTGAAGTGATGTATATTTTGTACATTATTAATTTAAATGCAAGTTTGTATATATGGAGTACATTTTACTGTGTTCTTTATTAATGATTTGACTTTCTTTTAATGTATTTTTCTATATTTTTTAAAAAGTAGTTTTGTGAGTGCTTTTCATTTATTTTAGACTGTTTTAAAGCATTTTACTATGGAGTTAAATACTGTAATACTGTAGATTGTGCAAAAATGTTGACAGCAATGTCCTTCAATGGCAGATCAGGTGATATCTTGCAGTTACGCCTTCTCCTGTTTTTGAATGAGAATGACGTAATAAAACTACGGATCTCCTGTTACTTTGTGGATCTACCCCATTGCTCTTGAGTTAAATTCAGTTTTATCTGGATATACCACATATTTTCAGAGGTAATGGTGCCAACTTGTGTTTATCACTCCAAACAAAGCTGCCCCCAGTGGCATGTCTGTGGACTTGCAACACTAAAGACCGGGTTTCAATACCCCTGGTGGACACAGCACAGATACCCATTCTGAAGCTTTGTGCTTCTTCAGAAACAAATAAATTTTGGTTATTACAGTAAGTTTCATGATTTTCAATTATTATTATTATTATTTTTTAGAATTTGAATAAAAATTTAATTTCTCTCTTTTTACTGTAGCTAAATACTTGTTGTTGTTTTTTTGTCTGTTTTCAAAAACTACACCTATAAATCCTTATTTTCTTTATATATATAGAAATTCATACTTTAGGGAATCCCATGTTTCCTATCAAGTCCTGAAGAAATCGCAATTTTATTGTTAAGATTTTTCTTGGTTTGTAAGATAGTACAAATTGAAAGAAAGCAAAAAAGTAAATCCATTGCGAATTTAAAAGTTTTGTTTTTTTGGTAAATCAATTCTTAAGATGTTACTAAACTGATAAAATAAAAGTTAAGATATACTATGCATATTTGATTATTTAACAATTCTTTTTAAAGGTTTGTTTGTAGTTAAGCACAAAGCTGCACAATGGGCTATCTGTATTCTGCTGTATTTTTAGCATTGTAAGTCCGCAGACATACCGCAGTGCTACTGGGGGGTGGGGGTGAATTAAACAATATACTAAAAATATTAAGAACTGAAATTCTGGGGGAATTCTGTGACTTTTTGACATTAAAAAATGTGAATAGTCTAAAATGGGATAAAAAATAATTATGCACACCAAACAGAGAAATGCCTAGCATCCTCAGGATAAGATGTACCCCCCCCCCACCAATAAGAAAATACGTAATGGAAAATTTAAGTAGGTGGCTACTGTCTTTATTCCATGCTTACTTAGCTTACGTTTTCTTATATACTGTATATTGGCCTTAGTGGGCGCTGCTGATTGGCTGATCAGTAGTTTAAAATTTGTGATGGCCGAAGAAAGCCTTATGCCTTACAGTCATACACACAACTTGGATTATTAGACACACTATTAGCTGTAGGTAGTTAATGCCCCAAAGTGTTACCATATTTTACTGAAATGGCTTTATATTAAAGAAATTTAAATTCAAACATGTAAGAAATGAGATCACATCAATATACGTGTAGCAAGTGAAATCTTTATTATTTTCCATCACTATATTACATCATATGGAAAATAAGACTGCATGATCCAAATAAAATATTACTGACCAAAAAAAAAAAAGACAGGGAAATTATTTTAGCCCATATAATATTCTTATAACTGTTGCTTAAAGATTGCTGTTTTTATAATAAAGCACTTCAAATACCGCTCATAATTATATTACTTTAAAGCAACTGTAATAATATTTTTAAATTTCAATGTTTTTCTCTCTTAATTAACATTCGATTGGTTTAACAAAGACTGAATGAATGGAATGTTTCAGTTTTAGTCAGCAATTTCTTTGATATTTTCCATTCAAATTCAAACTCTAACAAAAAGAAAAAAAAAACAACTTAAAACATCAACTAAACTATAAATCCAAAATAACAGAATTTCTACAATGGAACAAAAGAAAGATATTTCATGATAATTCTCTGTCAATTTTTACAAAACCTAAATATTTTTAGCCAGACATATTTGTGAATAGCTAGGCTAGAAAAAAACAAAACAACAACCAAAAAACGCTGTACATGTGTGGAAATTACAAACTATTAAGTTTAATAATTTATTTCGATTATACACATCCAAAATTACTTTGGACCTAATAGGCTGAGAATTTTTTGGAACCATACGAAATCATTTTCAGTTTAAATACGGAATTTAAACTACTTGTAATCCAAAATGTTTTACTGATAAAACTAAAAATTTACGTTTATTCTGCATTTCAACAGGTTGGTTACATCCTTACTCATGTTGGACTGTAGGACAAACCGCCCCAACTTAAATTTTACACTACTAAGCAACCTATTAGTCATAGTCCCCATACCAAAGTTGATAGATTCAGTCATGTATTTCTGATCATGAAAGTTAATCATTAATTATTTATTGTTTCTGGATCATGTTTTAGCTCTTAATGTATTCAAAATGTCTTATCATTTGTCTGTGTGAACGTACACGCAATACAATACAAACAGAATATGCATATAAAACCATATTTAAAATTGTTTCAAGAAATGAGGTATACACGTACAATGTATTGGATAATCGTAACCACATCTTATCTACTAACTGAACTTGGTTTAAACTTGAAAACAAAAAAAGCTTAGGGCAAACTCTGAATGCCAACAGTTGAATTGGTAACATTAATGTGCACCAGATTTCCACATTTTCATTGTTTACATCCACTAAGAGAATGATGATCAAAAAGATATTTGTGTATCTACATTTTTTAAGCACCTTAATGAACACAAGAAACAAGCAATACATCACCTAGACTATACCTCAAACATATTTTGATTGGAATTTATAACTTTATGATACTTTATTTTCTAGCATTTTTCCACATTCAAGCACAATACATGAAAAGCTAATTTTATTGACAAACTATACACAACTTAGATGAAACGTGGAGTAGATTTAAGCCTTAAACTATATCTTGTTCAACACTCTTGCACGTGTACACAGTATATTTTGGGAATGAGGATCTTAACGGTCAATTTACCTACTTTAATAAAAAAGATGAGTATAATAAAGTTTGAATAAAATATTATTCATTCAGTCACGATGACAACTGAAGTTTTTATGATGTTGAGTACAATAAATAACTACAAACAATATGGCAATGCTTTTAAATCAACTTATTCTACCACCAAAAATTAATAAGCCAAGATGAATTAACTTGTAAGTGTCCAATATTTTAACTTAAGTCTTTTTAAAGGACTAAATCGAGGGAAAATTTATGCATTCAGTCCTTGAGAAAAATATTGGACATTAACAAATCTACTGATTAAGAGTTTATGTGGTTTTTTTTGTTTAATTAAATCTTTAATTAAATTTAATTTAATTCCACACTCTACTCTTATATAACAACAAAGTAAAAGTATATCTTAGAAAATATGATCTGGAAAAAAAAAAAAAGATTCTTCATAAATATATTTCTATGTACATTTGCAACAGCGTTTTAAATGATAAGTATTTTTTATAATATGTAACAATACAGGTATGAAATGGTGAATAATATAATACAAATGGTTTTTTTTGTGTTTTTTTTTTTTGTTACAAAATCATTACATTTTCACCCAATATGAGCCAAGAAAAGGCACCCAAAATTAAAACAAGCTCCATAGGTTTGGGAAATTATACAGATGACAAATATTATTACAAGAGGAAAAAAATTACAAATAGGACTCAAAAGTGATAAGCATGAGAACAAAATGGCAATTATGAATGATTGCTAACGATCACACCTGGTCGTGCTTGTGTCACAGAAGAACAGTGAATAACCTGGTGGTGAACGTTGTTGATGTTGGCTCTCTGATGCACATGATAAAATGCAGGTTTGAATTCATGAGAAGAAACACTATCGGATATTGTTATCTGAGACTGAAGATTTTTCAGAGGCTCAGGATCATCTCGAAACATATGGTCACCTTCTAGGTGTCGAATGGCTTCCACGATAGTCTCTAAGTTTTGACGAGAAGTGCTGCTTGCTGGGTAGGGTTGAGCTGATGCAATATCATGAGCAGATTTCTCAGCCCTGGTTGGCCTTAGAGATGATCTACAAAGTTCAGTGGCGTTTGAAGTTGTTTTTGAGGTTCTAACAGAAGGATCCAGAATATCCAACTCTGATGAAGATGTTGGCTCTATTGGAGTTGGGGATTTCCCAGACAAATCTTCGGGAAGGTCCACATGATAATATGACCTTTTGGAGAGAAGCACAGGACCCTCGGATGAATTGCCCTCACTTTGTTTTAGTTCAATAATTGGAGTGGAAGAATTACCCTCGGCACAAATAAACGAGTACTGTTTTGGTGATGATTGCTGAAAAAGAAGAATAAAAGTATTAATAATGGCTAAGATTTAAGGTAAACCTTTTACTGGAATAAATAGCATAAAAATATCACTTTATTATGACAATCCCAAATTGATACAAAGGCTTCTATTCAGATTTAAAACTACATGACAAAATAAAAATGAAAAAATTAGTTAACTAGGAAAACTCTCAAGGAACGTTTTCGATTATTTCTGCAACAGTTTATACTGCTCAACAGATAACTAACAAGTAAACGGCAGGCACCAAAATACAGTTTAAACTAATATACTATGTTGTAGAAGTAATTCAGATATCTAAACAACAGACCCAATACAATATCCTCTCAATGTAATGATGTCCTAACATTAACTTGTTCATTAACCGGCTTTCCATATCCGTGGTGGGCACAGCACAGATAGCCCATTGTGTAGCTTTGTGCTTGGTTACAAACAAACATACTTGTTCATAAATGGAATAAAAACCTGTAGTATATTTTTCTTTGATGTTATCTGTGGCTTAAAAATTTGCTTTGTTTAACCTGGAAAGCCTAACTTTTTTTTTGAATTGAATAAGTAGATATCTTTAACACGAATCTAAAGTTTATTCATAATAAAGAGATCATTGTACACAAATAAACCACACAATATATTTGGGAATTATGCAAAACAAAATAAAACCATATTAACCTCTACTGGATTGTGAGGGTCAACTTCTTGAGCCTGACCAGGATAAATGAGGGTTTCTAAGTTTTGTGTTTGTTCTTCAAGCATTATTCGCATCTTGCGTTCCCTGTCTAGCTGGACTCGCAGATCAATCATTTCTCTCTTCATCTCTTCTGGTGCATTGTCAGCATCGCCTGCTGGACTCATATTTCCTATCCCTTCATCGGAAGATTCTACTGTAAGAATGACTATCGTCAATCTCTGATTGATTCTGTCACTTTTAACAGAAAAACTTATTTAAATCTTCTATATAATCCATCTCTTTAAGAATACAAAAATTACCACTAGTCACACTTAGTATTTAAGTGGTAGATTTATTTGAAGAAAACAAAATAAATTTTATCAAATGAATATTTGTTGAATATTTAACCTTTCCAATTTGTTCCCTTCTGAAAATTAATAAAAACTACATCAGAGATTCCTGAGAAATTATATTCATCATTTTTTTTGCTTATTAAAATTAACTAACATGTAAGTTAAATATTACATTTTACTTTGCAATTGGAAATGTATCTGTTTTGTTTTGTGTGTGTGTGTGTGAAACAAGATACCACAAAAAATTACTTTAGCTAAAATTAGTTTTGCCCAAACTTGAGTTGTTAATCACATTTGCTGAGAACTGAAATCAACAGAAAACTTTATTCTGGAGTTAATAGTATAAAATATAAATCAAAATTAAAAATAACCACAAGTTAACCTCAAACTAATTTAGTACTTTACTGACAGAGTAATCTGTCTAAAATCCGAAACAAACATATATATCACTTTATTGACTTTTTGAGTAGTGTCGTTAAATTCAATTATTTCTCTGACTTGAACATGGCAAAAAAAAGTTTGTGTTGTATTCAGTTATACACTTCTCTGATGCTGTGGTTTAATAAATATGGTCCATTTGAAAAATGTATGATAAAATACTCAGGCAAACTTTAACTTCGACCATTAGCTACATGGGAAGCAACGTTTCCTAACATTATCTAATAACTTCACGGAAGCTTTAAGAATATGCTAATATTGCTATTCCTACTTCTGAATTATTTTTATTTCATATAATTACCTGTATCAGTTTTCTTGCGTTTTGGTAGAGGCGAATCCGAACTATTTCCATCGCTCTCCATGTTCATCTGAGAACTGAGTAGCCTTTTTAGCTGACAATTCTGAGCTAACAGTCTGGCTTTCTCCTGCTCCAACTGATAAATATATTCAGCCGTTTGTTGTAGTATGGCAGCCTAAATAACAAAGAGATAAGAATATCTGGTTTCTACTAAAGAATAAACCCAATATGTATAGGAAACACTGTATTTTAATATAGCAGTTTAAAAAGTAAAGAGCAAAGGAACATTTGGTTACTGTATAGGTTACTCAATGATTAGATTTTCTTTTTTAAAGAAAATTCTTACAGAAACTTTTGTTTTAAACATTTCATTTGTACAATATATGTTTTTATTACAATTTTATGTAATTATAAAAATTAATGTTGAGATCTATTGATTTCATCTTGTCAATATATAGTAGTAACCTTCAACAACGTGTGCATGAAACCCTCAACAGTACAAACTTTTAACAATGTGTGGATGAAACTCTTCAGTAGTAAACTTCAACAATGAGTGGATGAAACCCTCAACAGTACAAACTTTAACAATGTGTGGATGAAACCCTTCAGTAGTAAACTTCAACAATGTGTGGATGAAACCCTTCAGTAGTAAACTTCAACAATGAGTGGATGAAACCCTCAACAGTACAAACTTTAACAATGTGTGGATGAAACCCTTCAGTAGTAAACTTCAACAATGTGTGGATAAAATGTTTTTAACATACTTCTATTTCTCCACCCCTGGAAACTTGTACACATCTGAATGTATGTAAATACTGAGATTTATTGCTCTTTGTAAGAATGATGTTCCATATATCATGCTACTCTTAGAACTATTTACTCAATCTTCGATCATGCTCAGTCAGATAATCACTATTATCCACTGTTGCCCAACACCACAATTTCCATTGCAAAAAGCTCATGTAAAAAAATAGCAAGATCAATCTGATACAAAATTTCCACTGTATGTGAATGTAGGTTTTTTTTTTCCAAGACCACGTTCAAACAGCCCAAGCAGGACTTAACAAACACAGTATATGGTAAAGTAAGATTGTTGGCTTCTTTGGCTATTGATTTTGAGATGTTGCTAGAAGCTTGTGAACCGAAAATCTTTAATTATTACTTTGTTAACAATATCAGGAGATATGTTACGTTATATTTACAATTCAAGGCGACTGGAAAGTTCTTTATTTTCAAACATGTTGGTAAATAAACTTTTAAGTGATTTTTCCACACATCTCTCTTTCACTTCAACGTTGAAGGGATCCAAACATTATTTCTTAAAAATAAAACTAATTTTCCTATTAGATTCAACTGTTAAGCTACACTGTGGTAAGTCCTGTACGAATTCAAAATATCTTTAGTTTCATGCTTGTGTTTAAATTTTTGACATGAAATCCAAATGCACTTTCAAAGCTCCTAGTGACAATTTTCAAGCAACATAAAAACTATTAAGACGTTGTTTCTACAACTGCATACGTTCCATAAACAAGACATAATGTTCGCAAACTAATTGCATGGTTGAGTCTGGTGCTGTGCGCTACCACATGCAGCCAACTAATACACTCAGTTCACCGATATTACATATCATAGATTGATTTTTCAGCTATTTTAAGGAGTGATCCCATCAATATCTATAACTTGAATAACTGCACGGCTAATATATTTATACGTTCTAAGCCTTTCTAATGATTTACCTTAAATTTATAAATTTTAAATCTAACCTGTAGATGGCGCTATTGTAACACCTACCCCCCATGAGCCCGAAACAGAACTGTCTTTTAATATCATTTACGAATATTGTTTCATACAATACGAGAACATACAAAAGTACAACGCGACGTACTAATTTGGAATAGTGACCGGAAACGGGGATGACGTGGTATGACCAAAGAAACGCCGAAGCAAGCAGATGGAGAGGGCGGATTAACTCGTGACCTTTCATCGCCAAATTTGGATGCAATCCGATGCCATGCTGACTCTGTGCATATTTCCTTCTGGTAGGAGGAATGGGGGAAGAAAGTGGGAGCAGGTCACGTTCTCTATGCATCACGTCCCGGCCGTCCACACACCACGTGAGTCACATGAGTAAAAGGGTACGACAGCTGCTCGTTTTAACTCACTTTTGGAAAAAATCAGCCAGTTTGTGTCTGCTGTGTATGTGTTCAGTTAGTTAAAATAAATATATATATATATATAAATTAACGTAAAAGATAAAAAATAAATATATTAGCCAAGTTTTTCCAGCTTCGTTGGATCTACTTTAATAAATGCAACATAGGAGTAACAGAAAGCTACGAAACCAAACTACGAGCTAACCTTACGTTTGTCATGGCGTACGATTTTCTGCACTGATAAATAACCCTTAGCTAAATGATACTCCATTTCTATAACCCGTTTATGCAAAATATGTTCAGTTTGCGACACAATTATATTGATTACCGCATTCCGAATTTTTTTCAATTATCCCCCCCCCCAATAAAAAAAAAAGGTTACATAAACTGTGAACCAAAACAGCACTAACTTCGGAAAGTTGCGAAGAACTTTGTCGTTTGAAAAACTCTGTGCTATAAACGTGCCTTTTGTTATCTTTATCCAACCCGTATTAGTTAAGAAATTCAAACAAAACTACATTGTTTAGAAATGTATACGTACAACTGTACAGTTACAAGGTGAAATATATATACACACAAAGTTATTTAATATCAACTGAAATCATTCAGATAAGCCGTAGGTGGGCATTCCGAAAGTGCGAGATCACTGACTAAGGCACGTGCTCCTATATCATAGACGCGCGCGCGTGTAAGCAACACAAATTCCATTAAAAAAATAAAGCATTTCAAGAAGTTTGGAAATGAGTATTATTAGCTTATCATTTCGTTAAGTTTTTAAATACACAAAAAATTAATTCCCAGGTGTTTGAAAATGTCAAATCCTCCATGCAGTGAGTACGTTCAACCTTTTATCTCGGCCAGCTGTAGCTAGAGATGATTTTATACATAAAAGTAGAAACTTTACGCTAAAACACAACAATCTGAAGGTGATATAAACGTTTCGATAATACCACACAACAATTATAATGATGTTACAATAAGGCCCGGCATGGCCAGGTGGTTACGGCACTCGACTCGCAATCTGAGGGCCGC